TAATAATAATAATAATAATAATAATAATAATAATAATAATAATAATAATAATAATAATAATAATAATAATAATAATAATAATAATAATAATAATAATAATAATAATAATAATAATAATAATAATAATAATAATAATAATAATAATAATAATAATAATAATAATAATAATAATAATAATAATAATAATAATAATAATAATAATAATAATAATAATAATAATAATAATAATAATAAATAATAAATGAACGAATTGTCGTCATTGTAATCATTGTAAAATCATCATTGTCACTAGTTTTGCTTTATTGGGTTTAACATTAGCATATATGAATGATGAACAAATAAATACTAATATCATTCGTTTGGTCAGAATAATTGAAAATAAAAAGGTCGAAATGTCTGATCAAACTTGATCGGAATGAAAATCATTCATAATGATTAAAAATTAATAAATGACCGGAAAAAGGACAAAAGGTGACAAAAAAAGTATGGGGACGAACGTCCAGAAATGATTTGCATAAAATTTCGGAAATTTCGATTAATTGTTGTAGTGTCCTCATTCCTCCTATTTAATTGGTACAATGTACGATTTTCATAATTTTGATAGAATCACTGAATGGCTATCATCTTGTTTACTCATCTTGTATATATATATATATGTTGTGTGTATTACATATAACTATCCTACCACTATTGTCATACTAATGATACTTGTGATGATGATGATGATGTTGATGATGATGATGATGATGATGATGATGGTGATGGCAATTATAACGTTGATGACTGATAATGATGTTGATTTAAATAATACTGAAAAATTCATGATAATGATGATATAATGCTAAGGAATGAAGTGACCTATGTGATTACTAACCTGGTAACGATTATATGACGCTAATAATAAAAGATAACAATGGTAGCATGATAGTGATAATATGATGCTAAAGACTTAAGTGATATCAAGTAGTAGCGTGACAATGATAATTTAATCCTAAATGTTCAAAGGATAACAATAGTAGCATGATAATGCTAATCTATGCTGAGATGATAATAGCAATAATAATAATGATAATAATATTTGTTTAAATAATGTTATAAATTGCAACAATATCAATCATATGATGCTAATGGCCTAAGTGTTAACAATAATAGTACGATCAAAGTAGTTTGTGTTATGAGTTCAATTGACAACAACAGTAGTATGATAATAATGATGATGATGCTATGATGACGCTACTGATACTGCGAATGATTATAGAATGTAGTAGTAATCAT